AACCTATTAATACCAAACAAATAGGCACGATCTTGTCAGCTATCAGTGTCAACAATACACTAGCAATTAACTTTCAATGCCACTACCAATGGGCGCCATCTTGTGAGCTATCAATGTCAATTAGGCACTTATAGCTCATAATCTATCAACGCTCAACCAATGGGCGCGATCAATTGCAAGCTATCAATGTCAACATGGACACTATCAATTAATCGATCAATGCCAAAATTACAGACACGATCTCATGAGCTATTGATGTCAATCAGACACTAGCTCATCATCTATCATGGCCAAACCAATGGGCGCGATCTCAGCTCGTCTGTTTTCAACGAGAACATGATTACTCTCTCAGCAGCAATCAAGTCAGAGTTACTATATCAACTAATGTATTTGAGGTTTATATGTTACAAGTTAAAGTTTAAGATGTGATTATAATTCCTACATTGTTATCTTTATCACATGATTAAGGCAATCATGTTACATATTACAGCACAGTTGAATAGGTGCAGTTAAGATGTAAGTCATTATATATATATAACATGATTAGGCTAATCCTACAAAATATTTATTTGAAATGCAGTTTAAAAGAATAATAGGTTTTACGTAGAAGTTTACAAACGTAGATAGTTAATAATGTACAACGTACTGCAGGTTTACAGATTATTCTGTTCCCCGATATTTATTACAGATATGGACAGAGGTTTAAAAGGGTACTGTTGTGAATTGGCCATGCCACTCTTGAAATGGAGATTCACCTCAATTGGCATCTTTAAAGACCCTTTAAGGAAAGGCAAATGTAAGGAGGCTAAATTTAGGGAAGGGGGTACCTAGAGGTGACTGTGAGGGGGTTATACCTAGAGGGGAGGGGTACCTAAATGGGAAGGGGGTACCTAGATGAGGGGTACCTAAAGGGGAGGGGTTACCTAGGGGGAGGAGGTACCTAGAGGTGAGGGGGGTACCTAGAGGGAGGGGTACCTAGAGGGGACAGGGGTATGTTTATGGTGTTAGGTGGGGGGTTAATGGTTAAGAAGGGTTGTTTCATTCCTTGAAAGGGGAGGGGGGGTTAATCTGCGGGAGAGGGGTATTTATGGAGGGATGTAGGTGAAGGGGGGGGGAGGTTATTGTTTACTAATTATTCATGCATCAGTTTTCAATAAGGAAGTATGACATTAATACTATTTATATGAACTGCATATTTCAGAAAATATTTTTCGTTGATTTCATGTATTCGTAGAACCGAGGAATTGATTTTTCATTCAATTCATTTTCTTGTTGAATAGAATTTAAATTTTGTCGCGTTTTCATTGTCAAGCTTTCATTGATACATTGAGAAGATGAAAATAAGCATGTAAATGCTAAACACTGTTTACTGAATACCCAGTTTTATATACAGTAGTCGTCGTAAATAGCAATACAATAAAGACGACTTTCGATTTAAATTTTTGATTTCTACCAAGCTTTCAATCAGCATTGATGCACATAATGGTGGATACAATTAATGTGTTTAATTGTAAACTTGTAATTTGAAAAAAGCTTGTTAAAGATCAGAATTCAAAAACAAAAGTTGTCTTCGCTGTATCGATATAAACGCCAACCACTACAGTAGTAACCAGAAAACAGTGCAATTATTGTGCAGTAGTTTTTATATTATATTTCTTTAAAATGTTTCTAAGAATTATGTTGTATGATTGTATCGTATTTTAACCATTCTTTTGAAATATGCTTTGAGATCTGAACTTCTGTGTGGATATTGTTTCTTGATATCGATATCCAATGTGGGTGCTTTTAACAATGAGGATCAATGCTTGATCCCTTAAGTGAAATTATCCCTGCAGGGTATGACCATCCCGGGATATCGAAGAGGCATGAAATTAATCCGTATGATGTTGCTTAAGATGGAGATCAAAGCTTGATTCCAAGATTTATAACCACACAAGTTCTCGCTTTAGAATATTTTAATAAATCATGCTAAATAGAAAAAAACGAAGATGAAAATCATTCCAGAGTCTCCTGGTCCTCCTGGTAACCGAAGCAAATATTCTTATTTTTTTAATTTTTGATTTACTCATTGTTTAAAACCATTCTTAATTAATTGTTACAACCGCCAATCATTGAAAATTGAAACTGACGGGTTTTACTATTCGATATATTTATTTTTTTAAAGTTACCGATCCGGATTTCCTTTCAAACTAACCATTTTCTTTCTTTACACTTTGCACCCCCCCCCCCTCCTTTTACAGAGTAGGGAAGAGGGGGGGAAGGGATACTACCCCCTACAAGCGCTTAATAATATTCTCAAAGGCATAATTAAACTGCAAAAACTAAACGTTTAAGCAAAGTCACCTACGGCATTCGTAAGTGAGGGGGGGCCTTATAAGGACTTGAATCAAGTAAATTATGAATAAAAAGCAAGATGAGGATTGAGGTTATTAAATGGGGAAGGGGTGGAATGTATGTACATATGTTTGTTCATGGAAGGGGAAGGTGGAATGAATGGGGAGGTAATTAAGAAGGGGTAAAAGGGGGATGGTTGAAATTTTAAATTTTGATCATATTATTCTGAATTTTCATCATATTTACTTTTTCATCTTATTTTACATTTTTATCCTTATTTTACATTTTGATCATATTTTACATTTTCATCATATTTTACATTTTCATCACATTTTACATTTTCATCATTATTTTACATTTTCATTTTATTATACATTTGCATCATATTTTACATTTTCATCATATTTTACATGTTCATCATATTTTACATTTTCATCATATTTTACATGTTCATCATATTTTACATTTTCATCATATTTTACATTTTCATCATTACTTCACATTTTCATTTTATTTTACATTTGCATCACATTTTTCATTTTCATCATATTTTACATTTTCATCATATTTTACATTTTCATCATATTTTACATTTTCATCATATGTTACATGTTCATCATTATTTTACATTTTCATTATATTTTACATATTCATCATATTTACATGTTCATCATTATTTTACATTTTCATCATATTTTACATTCTTTTAAGTTTCATGGGTGAAAGGGAGCTACATGCGTCATTCCCCATAAAGACTTTTTTGTTTTAAAGGCTTTCCAATGAGTTATGAAATGTAGGTCTAAATAGGTCTAAATATAGAATTTAGTCAGGTATAGATGAACTAAGGCATTCAGGCAGTATGCCTGAGAACTCAGGTCGTATGTTTAGAAGCATAGCTTTAAACTTAAAGCGAGTAACATATATTTGTTGGAAAGGAAAAAAAAAATTAGAGGACACCCCCTCTCCCAAGGTTCTTATATCAATTAAAACGAAAATTTGTTTGGCATAATTTTCAATTTTGGTTTGGTGCTGAAAACTATCAGCTAATGTGTTAATTCTCCGTACAGAAGCTGAACCCCGGCATCCGCCCAGGAATAATGAATATGCTAATTATCTCCATATTTGGAAAGATAAGGATATGTGTCTTTCAAAACCTGATATTATTCTTAAATCCATGCATTGACAGATTTTAGTGAAATATCCCCCCCCCCCTGGGCGACTTGGGCCCCACCCACATTAAACATGCGATAAATCCCCCAGCAAATGATCAATTTAAAGTACAGGGGAATTTAGCTTCAAAACTAACACTTGGCCCATTTTTAACACTGAGTGTTAGAAATGGGCCAAATCTTCAAAGTTATCTTTTTCAAGCGTATATTTCTTTAAATCCAAGCCGAGTTGAACTAAAATACACCATACATTTATTAAAAATGGCTAAAAATAATCATTGAAACAAGAAATGTCAACTTTAAAGTTTAATAATAAGGTATGAGAATTAGTTTATGATGATATTGATTTTCATTTTCGAACACATTTTTTGATAAGGTAAAATATAAACAAAATAGAAAACAAAAAATACTGTTCTTTTATCATTTAAAAATCATTTTAGCATCGAGAAATCAAAATTTTAATAATATTTGTTCTTTCAATATAGATTTAACTATAAATCTGGGAAATTAAAAGTTCAGAGTGCGGGAAATTAAATCAACTTTATTCTCTTAGAAAAGTGAGTTTTGTTCTGAATTGAGGATTATACTCAAAAACGGGAAGTGGGTTTTGTCTCGAAAACGCGAAAATGATTCAAATTCAGGTTATGTTCGAAATTGGAAAACCTGACATTGTCTAGAAAACGATCAAGGTTATTGATATAAAAAGAACTTCTTCTATAATTTTAATTCCAGAAAATAGTTTTAAATTGGGAATTGTCCTCGTCATGCTTGATAAAATGTTGGTTATAGTTTTAATTATTGACTTATACTCTGGATATGGGTCGGGATCCTAAAAACCCAGTCTTTCTATTTGTGCCCATTTCTAACACTCAGTGTTAGAAATGGGCCAAGTGTTAGTTTTGGAACTAATGTTCCCTGAAATAGTTTTCAGAAAGATCAAGATTCAAGATCGGATGCATAGAATTGAAAAAAAAAATCGCAAAATTGTATTTTGTAAATTCGCAGTTTTAGTTCTAGTGCAATGCAAAGCAAAACTGCAAAGATATCTGAAATTTTTTTTTTCAAAATTAGCCGAAATATGATTGAAAGATGTACGAACAAGAAGAAAATGAAAAACAAGAAATATGAAAAAGTCAAAACATTTACATCTGATATACCTATTTAAAGAATATTGTAAATTTTAAAAAAAAATTGTAAAAAAGTTTACTGTAGAAATTGTGTTACAGTTTTTGTAGAAGTAATGGAATAAATTAAAAAAATCTTCTCAAAATTTATCCTCCAAAATGGAGAATTTTAAATACTTACTCATCAACTATACACCGTAAAACGTCTTATCTGCATCAAATGCATCCTAAAATTTTTTTCTGTGATACTGCATTCTCAGCTCAACTACCATCATACCATGTCTATAGTCTGTCACTCCCTTTAACAATTTTGTGAATATTGATATCTCAACCATGGTCCATGATTAACTTTTTATGTACTGACTAAAAACTATTTAAATATTTCTAAACTTTATTTTGTTACTATTTTTATCATAATATTGTACCATTTTATCAGTTTGTGTACGAAATAAATCTAAATTAATTATAAATATACATTTTGATGAATTGACACGATACCATAGATTAATAATGATACAGATAGAATACTAGACATCGTCTTTACAAGATTTAGGGTTTTTTCGTTCACAAATCACAATAACCCTGAGGCAGAAGCCCATGAAGGAGTTAGAACAGGCTCTCTCTCTCTCTGTCTTGTAATTCAACGCAGCACACACATAACTCCTTAGGGCTTCTATCTCAGGGTTATTGTGAATAAAAAACCCCTAAATCTTGTAAATAGTGTTCTATCTGTATTGTTATTAATCAATGCATGATACCCTTTAATCTATCTGCTTAAATCTTGAATCTATTGCATGACTCATCAGCAAGAATTTTAAAATAAATTCACTCATGTTCTTCAACAAATATTCATAATTTTGTAACTTCTTGATATTCGTTTAATTGACTGGATGTGTCCGGGTTATCTGCTTGATAGGTGAGCCTGGATTGGTTCCTAGGATTGGACGGATGAGAGGGTAGACCTAACAAAAAATATTGATATGAAATCAAGTATATTAATCATAGGTAAATATCAATAATATTATAAACATAAATAAATAAGATAATGATCAATTAAGAAAAACATAATTGTAATGACAATAATGATAATAATAATAACTAGCTAAAGTGCCCATGGAATTTTTTAAAATCAAATTTTGAAAAAAATTTACTTCGAATTTTTTTAGTCTTTGTTACCCCCAGGGGTACTCAAAAGTTTCCTCTAAAAATGTCAGCCCATTCGGTCCAGTCATTTGGCCAGCTATAGCTAACATATATACACATATGTATAAGCAAAGAGCTTGTTTTACAGATAATAATATTAATGAAAATAAGGTAAAAAGAAGAAGAAGAATTATAATCAAAATTACTACTAAAAAAATTCAAAGGTTAAGGTAACGTCACTCAACTGATGTCGGTATTAAATTTTTTAAAAAGTATAATCTTGTGGAAGATAATATTCCCACAGGTCTGGCCTCAGATATTTTCCAAACAAAACCAAAAGAATCATTACGTTCTCAACTCGTGTGATATTAGATTGATCTTGAACCCTGTTCTGTTTAGATAAAATCTATACTGGATCATTATTTCTTGTTTTCATTAGAGACAGTCCTCATAGACTCTAAATTGGTGACCCCGTCTTTGAACAATCAGCTGTGAATCTCCGACTCTGAACAATTAGTCTTTGGGAATCTTTGGCCCTGGCTGTCACCCAGTATGTCACCAAGGTTACCATCAAACTTCCTGACTTTTGGTTTGAAGATCCCAACCTCTGGTTCCTTCACGAGTTGATGTTACGGAACGCTCAGATCACACTATCTCGTACCTAGTTTGACCACATCATTCAGAAACTCCCCGGAGTATCATAATTTCCGTCAGTGGACTGATAATAAACTCCTAATCCTCATCCTCCAACCCTTATGAGGATTTGAAGGCCAAGTTGCTCACACTTTTACACTGGTAGAGGGTAAACAAAGTCATTCATCACAATGCCTTGGTTGATCATTGTCCTACGGCACTAATGGATGCGATGTTCCTGGCAGCCTGTTCTTAGGTCTGTTTCTTGAGAGGTTACAAGTTGAGATGAGGGATCACCTGGATGCCAGGGAGATCAAGGCCCCCAGTGAAATGGCATTGCATGCTGATATGTTTTGGGATGCTCGTAGGGCACAAAGAGCTGATTCTATTCCTGCTGCTGCTGCTACATCTCCAGCTCATGCTCAAGACTTGAGAATGCATCCATGAATGTGGCAACATTTCTCCTGCTCACCACAACCAAACTCCAGGTCCTGCTGGTCTGGGAGAATGTTATTTCTACAAACGTTTTGGTTCCTTAGTCAATAACAGCCGTAAACCCTGCATACAGGGAAACTCCAGAGCCGACAGGAGAAAGAGGAATTAAACAATCTTCCTGTCGGCGGCTACCTTTTATACCTATGTGATGAGCTTACAAACCGTGAGTTCCTGGTGGATACTGAAGCTTCACGCTCAGTTTTCCCACACCCTTCCTCAGCAAAACCAGGGAACAGGAATAAAGGGAAAGGAAATGGCGCTGGTCCGGCAAGAGAAAGCCAGTCCCACTGCTTTGCAGACCAGTACAGTAAACTGACACACACTCTTCTGGTACAGACACACAACATGACTACAGTCAAGGAAATTGTAGAACAATGTCGTCGATTATAATTAAATTTTAATAACGAGTAGTTTATTGTAAACTTTAATAAAATTATATTCTTTGCATGAAAATTTGGCTTTATAGTGTTGACTTAAATATGTAAATAATATATTACATGTATATTAAACATATGTTTAAGTAAACAATTAACAATAAACAAATGTACTCTCCTAGACTGTACAAATCCCAAGATTCTTACGTACTGTATAAACCTACAGTACAAACCTTTGGTACAGTAAACTGACACACACTCTTTTGGTACAGACACACACACATGATGTTTCCGCCACCTGAGCAAAACCCAATGGACCCCACCTTCTCATAGTGGCTAAAGCTTGGGGATCTATAAGAGTCATTCCTCTACATTTTGGTAACTGCCGTTTTCAGTTTCTGTTTCTGTTTGCCACTGTAGACCATTCTATTCTAGAAGCAGATTTTCTAGCTGAGTTTGACCTCCTGGTTGACCCCACCAAACGCCAGGTTCTCCAACCATCTGATTTGTAACGTCTCCTCCTCCAGTGAATTCAACCGACAATACCGCCGTCCCATCAGTTTTCAAACTAGCCCCTGACGTTCCCACCTTGTTGGAAGAGTTCCATACTGCTGAGAAACCTTGCCTACCTGGTCAACTGCCAGGCCACCATGTGGAACATGTGATCAAGACAGAGGGTTAACCCTTGCATGCCCGCCCCCGCTATTTAGATCAGTTGAAATTGTAGATGCCAAAGCAGTTTCAAAAGATGCAAGCAGCTGGAATTATTCAATGCTTCGATAGTCCCTGGGCCTCTCCTCTTCATATAGTTCTCAAACCAGACGATTCCTGGCGTTCATGCGGCAATTACCACTGATTGAACAATGTTACTAGGTCATTGGCACTCTCTGTAAAACATTCCTGATTTTACAAACAATTTGAAAGGTTGCACAGTTTTCTCCAAACTGGACCTAGTGAAAGGTTATCATCAGGTTCCCATGGACCCACAGACCGCCATTCTGACGCCTTTTTAGAGGATTACCACTTGTTTTTGTCTTGGATGACGTCTTAGTGGCAAGTACAAACAGAATGACCCACCTGAAGAACCTGAAACACCTTGGTGTATTGCTTCACCTCCTCGTACAGAACAGTTTTGTTCTCTAAACCTTCAGAAATGCAGTATTGCGCAGGAAGAGATTGAATACCTAGGTCACAAGATAACTCCTTCTGGCATTGCTTCTCTCCGCAATCAAACATGTTGATGCCCTTCTACTCCAACCCCATTCTCAGAGGTTCCTAGGTATGATCAACTTCTATCGTCATTTTCTACTTGAAGTTGCCAGAACTCTCCGCCCCCTCACTGATGCTTTAGCTGGTAAAAGAAATAAGTTAAACAAAATTTCTTTACCTTTCGAAGTTTTATGCTTGCAAATAGAATATTTTAATCTATTCCAAAACTCCTTAAAAATATGATCCATAAGAACAAAAAATATTGTTAACTAAATAATTTTCATATTATTTCAATGTTTTTATTATCGAAAATCAATTAAAAAGAAAAATTCCGGTTTCACAGTTATAGGGATATGGGGAGTTTGTGGCAAAGACTTATTTCCTTTATTAACGTGCCAAAAAATTAGCAATTCATAGGGGAAGGAAGAGCAGCGGGGCATAGGCAAAAGGAACCAGGGGGTAGTTTTGGGTCAAATATAAAAAAGTCCGCATATTTTGATTATCTTATTAAAATAATAAATTGTAAAGTTGTTTCAAAAGATCTATTTTTCCTGTGTTTCTGAGTATTCAAGATAGGTTTTCGTCTGGATAAGAAAACTAATATTTTTATCAGGATTTAGGTTCAAAACCTCCTTCATGATGACAACAATATCGTCCCTAAAAACATATTTATTTACAGAAATATTTGGATTTACAAACTATTAGATGAATGCCATGTAAAGTTGATTTCGGCTGTTTTCTAACTCTTATGCTGCGAAAATTCTTGTTTTGATTTCTCGGAAGGTAGCAGGGCGCCACACGTTTTTTTTATTATAAACCTTTGCCTTTTCTTTTTTTAACTTAGAATATTATTTTCTGTTGTTGTTTCTCGGTTTGCAATTCATGCATGAAGAGACGATAAGTGAAATTTGCAGAAATGGGCACTTTTTAAAACAAACGACAATTTCTGTGTATTGTTATTCAGAGATAAGGTTGGAAACAACTTTTTAAATAGAAGTTTTCTTGAAATTATGCCTAGATTCCTTCTCATAAGAAATCATTTCAACAAAATAAATTAGACCAGGAAGGATCAGGATACGTGAAGGAAATGAATGGAAAGAAAACAGAAACCTACTTTCAAACTTTGAAAATAACTGTTAACAAAATCCTTTAATAGACTGTAAGTATAATTTCAAAGACATGGCAATGCTCGAATAACTACGCTAACATTGAAACCTTGAAGTGTCAATTATGTGGAAGATAGTGTCGTTTTTCTAGGTTTAAAACTGTTACATTATGATATTTACTATACGTTTTACTGCACAGTAGAAATGTGCAACGCAAGTTACTTTTGTAGAGGAAACACTGATATTCTAATTTATACTTGATCAGACACAGCGGTTAAAGGTACCGTTGTGAATCGGGAATTACACACGCTCACTTAAAATTAAGCTTACAGTCCCTTTAAAAACTTACATATTGTCTCTGAGTAGATGAGTGGCCACATAGGTTTCAAACCTGCACCATCTACTCTCAAGGAAACCGTTGCTAAGGGATTATTCAACAAATTAGAAATCGTTATCAACTCTATAATATATACATCTAACAATCCCTTTCGTGGTTTTGTGACCCTTCTATCACGGGATTAGCATGATTAAAAGGATGAGACTGTAAAGACGACCTGAAGACTAAAACTCATATCAAAGGAAGATCTCAAGGTTTAATTAAGTCTTAAAATTGACAGTGAAATTTCCGTACAATCGTCTCTGAAATCTTATCCTTTGTGAGTAATTTCAGAAAGGGAGAAAGATTTTTCTTGAAAATGAACCCCTCTGAATGCATTAAAATATACAAATAATTGAAACCCTATTAACTCAACCAAAAATGTACTCTACAGTCAAGGAAAAGACCTTTGATACTGAATGTGAAATTATACTTTTTTAAAAATAATAATTTTAAATATTTTTTAAGCCAGTTTTTGTTGATTGCCTAAGTATAAGGAGAAACATTTTACTGTTTTCCACTGATTCCACTATATTCTCTATAACTGAAACTCCAATCTAAACAAAACAAAAAGAATTTGATCTAAAATTTTAAAAAAAGATTATATTTACCTTGAAGTCTCTTTGATGAACGCAGATGTTTAGAATTGGAGGGCTCTGCTCCATCTCCTGTTAAGACCAACTCAACGTAAAAATTAATCAAATTTATAAAAACTCCATTAAAAAAGTTCATTGAAAAATCAACTTCATTGAAAAAAAACTCCAAGGTGACAGTCATCTCCATTGAAAAAAACTCCATCAAAAAAACTCTATTGAAAAATACACTACGTTGAAAAAAACTCCATTGAAAAAAGTATTGTATACTGTATACATCGACAGAATTGAACAACAAAAAAGTTTATTGTACACACTTGAAACAGTCAAAGTCTAAAACACTATCAGGTCCCTTTAATTAAAGCTTAAAGTGAATCTAGTCTGTGAATTGTTCCTTGAGGAGGTGCTGGTGGACCCATTCACTATCCTTCTCACTATAGGAGACAAATACGTCGTAGTAGGGAGGAGGCCGGTCAATCACAGGGGCTCGGTATCTTCTAGATTAATAGCAAGTCTTTCATGGACATTTCATAGATTCATAAATTTTAGTCTTTCATGAATATGTTCTATATATAGATTAATAGATTTTAGTCTTTCATGGATATATTCTAGATTCATGAATTTTAGTTTTTCATGGATATCTTCTAGTTTCATAGTTAGTCTTTCATGGATATCTTCTAGATTCATGAATTTTAGTTTTTCATGGATATCATCTAGATTCATAGATTTTAGTCTTTCATGGATATCTTCTAGATTCATAGATTTTTGTCTTTCATGGATATCTTCTAAATTCATACAGTTAAACATACATCGAAAGAATTCATCAAATGTCGTATTCTTCCCTTTCTGATTATGGATTGTTGCTGATATTTAGTTTTTTAATTAAATGATT